TGAGGCCCAGAAATCAGGATTTTAAAAAGATTCCCAGGTGATTCTAATGTGCAGCCAAGATTGAGAACCACTGGCTTAAGCTGTGAGGTGCATTCACTAGTCACTGCTAAACTAGCTCTTCTGAGCCAAAGTTCACAACTCCTGGCCAAGCGGTGTTAAGAAAACAGGCAAGTAGTTGCTTCAGATTCATCTGTGAGCAGGTTACTTCAGAAAGCTTGGAGCAGATGGGAACTACTTATTTGACTTGCAGGCTGACCCGTGTTTAGAGTATTTTGAAATTTGAAAAAAATTAAGCTTTTGTGAGTTTTGGAAAGGCTTTTTTGAGTTTTGGAAGCACATCTGTATTTTCAGTTGAGTAACATTCTACTTTTCTCATATAAAAGAGTTGAATATCTCTCCCTCCTCCCCTACAACTTTCCTCTTTCTCTCACTTTTTTCCTCTGTTTCTCCCTTCACCTACCCCTCCCCCCCTCTTCATTTCAAGGAAGAATACTTAAAGTAAATTTCCCCTTTCTGCTTCCCTAGAGAAAAATAGGAATAACTGTGAAATATTGAAATGTTTGCATTTATATTCTATGGCCTGTCAAAAAATAGGGTGGGGGGAAATGACATGTTTTATTACCACTGGCAATAATTTAAAATAAGTAATTTGGACCTGATAGAACAAAAATCTGTAAACACGTTTAGGTGCCTTATACTTCTTTTCTATCTCTTATAATTTTCACCACAATTTTATTGTGGGCAGTTGTTATGCCAATCTTCCATTTGGTAAAAGTGGTGATTAAAGGCGGTAAGTAACCTACCTGTGGCCACAGAGAATGTTTGAGGAGGATTCAAACCTAAGTCCATCGGACTTTGTGTTCACTCTTCTGTGTCAGAACCGAGTGGCCCCCTTCAGAGAACATGCAGCCTGTGAAGGAAGGTAATTCAAGGACAGGATCAGTGTCATAAGATTTTGATAAAAGCTTCTAGAACTTCAGAGAAAAACTCAGAACTAGCAAAACAGTGAGGATTTGGTCTCTGAAGTCTTGATTGATGCTGTTAGGCCTCTGCTGGGAGTAAGGAACGTCATTCCAGGCACGGAGGTTGGAACATCCAGGGCAGTGAGTGGAACAGCGTTGAGGTTTGCTTGATTGTGGGGTGTGCGGGAGAAGGTTGTGGAACTGTGAAGAAGCCAAAACCAGGCCACAGTGTGAGCTGAGTGTCTAGCTGGGTGAGGTTAACCTGTCAGCGGCACAGGGAGGTATACAGGCTCTAGGCAGGGAGTCCTAGCTGGAAGGTGTCTGTGGCTGGGTTAGTAGAAGGCAGAGGAACTGAACTGAGGGAGAAGAGTGAGGAAGCCTTTGGAAAAGTTGATGGAACAGCAAGACAACTTGAGGAACGGTGTCTGGGGATCACAGGTCTCAGAGGAGTGATGATATGCCTATCATAAGGCTTTCAAAGCAGTGGCAAGCACCCCACCTTTTGGTAGGGGCTAACTCTCCATACTGAGCGGTGAGGGCCTGTTGCTTCCAGATGCCCAGGGGTTTGAGAAACAAAGCAAGCCTTTAGGAAGGAAGGAAGGAAGGAAGGAAGGAAGGAAGGAAGGAAGGAAGGAAGGGGACTCCATTACTCACCACCAGCTCTGCCCCGCCAGTGCTGTTGGAGAAGAGCCTGTAGAGGCTGACAATGCCATTGGGCTTCCCAGGGGCGCTGATGTTGACCACAGCTTGGGTAGAAGACACGGCATGGAACCTGGGGGCCCCGAGACCTTCTGGGGGGGCAGGTCCCGTTTTGGGGGAGGAGAAGAAGGATAGGGAAGAAAAGAGGGGAGGGGGATGGGAGGAAGAGGAAGAAAAAGGGAAGGAGGAAGAAGGAAGAAGCTGCTTATGTCAAGATATATAAGAAAAATGGTGCCAGGGGGAAGAAGTGGTGGGCTAGTTGTTCAAAGGAGTATAAACATAAAGGAAAGGTGTCTTATGGAGTTTCCTTTTTTGTTTGTTCTATAAACAAAATACAACATTTGAAGGTGACTATAAAAGGAAGGCAGCAGGAGAGTGTGGATGGTGTATGGAGCAGGGCCATGAAGGTAAGAAGGTGAGGATGAAGAGAGCACACACAGAGAGTTAGTCCCAGCAGAGAGGGGACATAGCTCCCTTCTGAGGCTAAAAAGCAGATTATTAGATGAGACAAGGAGGGACAAGGTACAGATAGTGAGGAAAACTTGTTTCCTGATCTTTAAGTTAAAATAATTAGAGGCTCACTTCACCTGCCGGGTGTTATAAGGGAAGTGGTATCAGGATGGAGAAATGAGCAAAATTAAAAAGATTTGAAACAATCTTACAGGGGATGCAAATACTTAGCTAAACTAAACAAATTAATAAGTGGTTTTTGCCCTTTGTGTAGCTTTTACAGGTATATTCCCCAAATCATCTCATTAAAATATTTTTATTTGGTATGTTTTTAGAAACTACTTTATTTCAAGGTCATAATCAAAAGCTTAATATTCTGAACTCTCAAAACCACCTATGGATCAGGGACTTATTTTAAACACTTGTGAATAATTGGATGATGAGTAATTTCAGACATATTTTGACATCTTTTGAATTCTTAAAATTACATATTCTGGTTGTCTTGACTTATTTTTATGCTGAATTAACTGAAATAATTTATATAAATTCAAGATGTCACTGAGAATAAAGTATTTGATATTCACATTAAATATATTGCAGTATTGATCCTTATAGTGTCTAATTACACTGTGTTAGAAAATAACAAAATGAAGAGTTTGCATACTCCAGGAGCCAACGAATGACCTCTAGAGCGCTACAGTACTTTGCTGTTTCATTGTCCTAACACTCAATCATTCAAGTGTATTGAGTGATTAAAACCCTGTGCTAGGTTATGGGGGGTTGCAAAACAAACGCAGAACCTTCCTACAAGGATTTCACTGGCCAGAAGAACTGACTTATCTGATACATTTGAATTACCTTAACTCAAGGAATAATTGGCTTATCTGTAGGGATCTGAAATGTGATCATTACTGCCAAATTAGAGCTAATGCATTGTC